AACAAGAAGCTATTAGAAACAAGTGCCTTACTACTAGTAACAAGTGCATGGCCTGCTCGTAACAAGGTGCCGTATACGAAGGTAGCAGGGGCATCGCTACGAACGTACCAGGGACGCTGCGAACGGAGCAATTGATGCACCGGAGCGGTCTTTTCGCCACCCTGTGAAGGCCCAAACGTTCACACCGTTTTGCCTCGATGCGCCCAACAGGTGAGCCCCAAAACGAAGAAGAGGTGATCGGATTTGTTCAGCTGCACAACAATCTAAAGGCAACTTGAAGGTCCACAACAATCAGCAAACCGTTACTCACCCACCGTTCTGGCCAAGAACTCCGTACATTTGACCAAAGAACACCAACTTTCAACTGATAGACTACATCTTCGAAGTTCTATACCCATCACTGTAACTACTGCCAAGCGAACGCAGCTCCCGTGGGTGTCTCACCCCACGACTCCCCGGTGATCCTCGTCGAAGGCCCTACGAGAACGTGCTCCGCGGCGCCATCGGCGCCGTCCGCCGCACCTGGGCGACGCTGGAGGCGCGAGCGTTCTCCCCCCGGCGACTTACTAAGGTTCGCTACTAGGGGCTCCTGGCCGTACTACGAACGGAGCAAGGAAGCTACTTGGATTGGCAGTAGGGTGAAGGAGTGGGTGAAGGCCATCGCTTCTATAGGTTGGAGGCCATTCTACCTGGAGCCAAGGGTTTGTCCGTTTTGCCTTGCTTGGATTCTTCTTCAAAAAGTGCAGTCTAGTTGTCATTGATTTATGGCTCATCCTGCTTTGCCACCATTTCACAGGCCCAGCGTGGCGCTGTGGTGCTCCTGGCCGAGCTGCGCTCAAAGAGGTGCGGCTGCGCTCCGGACGGCGGTTTCACGGCCATATCTTGGGGGTGTCCCATGATCTGTAACAGTCACTACACAATTGTCACAGTTTTACAGAGAGCCAGTAAAAAAAAAAACACCTCATTTTCTTGAATGGGAATCAATGGGACATTTGATGACTATACCCAAGCCATATCACTGTGGCATGTTGCTTGCTCTGGGCCTCAGTCGGCCGGCCGTGAGGCGCGGAACGGCCAGTTCTGCCAGCAGTTCATCAGCGTCCTCAGGCAAGGTGCCCGTGGCGGTAGGAAGAAAAGGGGACGAAGAGGACAAAAGGGGATGGGCTCCAGCCTAGTAGCGGCTTCCAACTAAGAGCAATGGCCTCCAACCTAATAGCAGCGAACTAGTGATGGCCTCCTACCTACTAGCGATTGTCTCCACCCTACAAGCGATGGCCTCCTACCTACGAGAAATGGCCTCCCACCTAATAGCGATGGCCTCCCACCTAACAGCGATGGCCTCCAACCTAAGAGCAATGGTCTGCAACCTGGTAGCGATGGCCTGCAACCTAAGAGCAATGGCCTCCAACCTACTAGCGATGGCCTCCGACCTAATAGCGATGGCCTCCAACCTAAGAGCAATGGTCTCCAACCTGGTAGCGATGGCCTCCAACCTGATAGCAACCTACTTTTCAAAAGGAGATGAAGAGGACTTAGCGGGTTTTGAGCAATGTGTTGTTCTGCTTTTGTTGTTTGTCTTCACTAAGTCCAAAAAATGACGTCGTACCGTGACTAGGCTTTTCTGTGAGTTCCTGACCTCAAGAACCGACCTGACTCCGAGCTCTTAATGGAGAGGGATGGCAAGGTTGTTGCAGGCTGTGAGATGGATGATTATTTCAATGATCTTGTTAGTTTCTCTCCTGGTGATGGGTTATTTATTGCTGAACAGAATCTTTGCTGTCGAGGATGCACAAGCACGTGACTTTGGCCAACCTCTTTGTTGCCTCCCTCCAATCTTGAGAGTGTCAAACTGTTGAACTCTGAACATGGGGGGATATGTTTTAAAGCAGTGGCTGTGATGCAAACACTTGACGCACAGTGTGGCATCATACAGACTTGGATGAACGCATTCAATGCTTAAAATGGCTTCCACAACAGAGTTCCAAGAGACATTCCAGCAAGGCTTGCGAAAAGCAAGCCTCATCCGGCTCAGGCTCCAAAGAGCTAGGACACCCGGTGAGATGGGGCAGTGGGTTGATTGAAATGAATGGCGTCCAACCTACTAGCGATGGTGTCTCATGTTTAAGGCAAATGTCTCATTGGTGTCCAGTGTTTGCAGTGTTTGCCGAGGCATCTCTCGATTCCATCATGGTGCCAGAGATGTTGCGGATTGACTCCCCACACTGGACACACAAAAAATACTCTAGGAGTGGGCATCCATCAGTCGTAGGGACTCTTGGCATTCCTGCAAATCACTTCAGCCGGTTTATTGTACATGCCAAATTGTCCGCATGATTTGAACTTCAGATGGGATCAGATAGTCTTGTAGGATCAATCCTGCATGTGTGTTGTTCTTCCGGAGGCACGTGGAGCATGGCATTAGCCGAATTCCAAACCCCAAACATGTGGCTAACCAAGATCTGCACTCTCCCATGCCACCTCCTTGGTGTCCTCCTTTCACAGCTGACCAAGCCTGGAAGGTTGAAGGAGCTGGCCCAGGTCTTCCAGAAGCACCACGTCCCAGTGCAAAAAGCCATGTGGCCCAGCGAGTAAAGCTCGATCTTGAGTCTTTTCAATCACCCAAAAACGGGAGATGATATGACTCATTATGACAAAAGAGGCCTGTTTGATGCTTGTTGTTGCTGGAATCTGGACAAAAAAACTTCACAGACCTGTTGTGGTGGGTGCCATTCATCTCGACCGTTCCATCATCCTGCGCTTCGTCAGCGGCAAGGCCTCCCTGATTGCTGCGCAGCTCACTGGGCGGCCGGTAGACCCTTGGATCGGACCGTGGGCCTCTCGTCGTTTCGTCGTTTCGGACGGGGTCGTCCGGTGCAGATGGACAAGGGCACAAGGGTCGAACGAAGTGTCAATGGTGTTCAGAGTCTTTACAGGCCCTTTTCATGCCTTTCTACAGACACCTTTCCTCCAATGTAGATGACCACTTTGAGGATGTTGAGGTCTTTAGATGTCTTTACGTGGATGCGGTTTAGCGACCGTGGATTTAAGACTAAACTGGAACATTTGCCCAGAGGGCCAGTATGTAGGTGTGACCAGCAAAGCAATTGAACTGTGTTCGCACGTTCCTTTGCGTGCCGTGTAAAGAAACAATGATGAAAGTCAGGATTGTGGTAGTGGAAGAAGAAACTTGTTTGTCAATCATGTTACACTCAACCCCTTGATTGCAGTGAACCATCCGAGGAAGAAGCGCTGGAGGCGATGAAAGCCGCTCTTGGAGAAGGCGATGTCTTGCTGAGCGATGGCCTCCTACCCAAGTAAGGCATGTGGCTTTGAGGGGGAAGAAGGATCCCTAAGTATTGCGTGAGAGTGCTGAAATGAACCAATCTGTGAGGAGGCATAAACATGATTGGCGTATGTTGTCCTATTCCGACTCATTTCCCCACCGACTCATTCTGGAGATCATCTAAGATGAAACACAATCACTGTGTAGTTTTTGACAAAAACCGATGGAGCTCCACACGCTCCCCTCCCTGGTTCCTCCACACTCCCCGTCGAAGACTTCCATGAGGCTCGATCAACAAGGCCGATGCGCAGGACCCCCGATGTTCCAATGGAAAGATGAAAAAGCAGAGAGGTGGAACCGTGTCTTTGAAGAACCTGAGAGGTGGAACCGTGTCTAGCATCCGAACGCTCCGTTCGTAAGGCCAGGAGCCTGAGAGGTGGAACCGGTCCTTAACTTCTCGTCAGCGAGGTAGATCGGAGAGTACTCGACTCGTTCCTCAGAGTACTCGACTGATCCGGATCTGTTCGACTCGGTTCCACGAATATGAGGAGGGTGGCGCACGCTTGCTGGGAAGCCCAGAGGTCCCGGTATGTCCAACTCAAGCAGAGCCAATGACTGAGTGATGCCTGGTGCTCCAGATGATCATTGCAACGTCGTATAGGGGTGGCCGTTTTGGGGGGTGCGTGTTGCGGACTGCTGTCAGTGGGTCCAAGCTAAGTGTTTGGCATTCCCCCAAACATCGATCAACAAACCATTCATCCAGTCATCACGGCGACTGTTGCAGGTTTCGCCCAAGAAGTCAGTACTTCTAAGAGGACGATATATGGTACCTCCAGCCAAAAGACTGCAGGAAAGCCTCATATGACACCAAGCCCACGCGAATCCTGGTCTTTCCTGTACTCTAAAAGCTGTGGAGAGAAAGAAACCTTGCATCTCTCATCACTGGGGTATGTTCTGAGGACCCTGCATCACTCGTGTCTCTGAGGACCCTGCATTTGGTGAATTTGGGGCGCCACATCACTGAGGAGTCATGTGGTTCCACAGCGGCCGGCTGGTGGCCAAAGGGACTTGGTGGGTTTTTTTCCACAGTACTTGGAGTGAAAAACCCAGCATCCTGGAAACCCTTTGTGTAGATGTACTCGGTATAGTTTTTGCTTGTCTGCACGAAAACCACTTGTTTTCGTGGAGAGGTCAGTTGTTGGCATAGTCAGGCAGTGAAGTCAATGCTTTCGCAGCGCACGAACCTGCAAGCAAATCCTATCTTTTTCAAGCCGCTCATCCAGAGACCACGTCAGAGACAGCTCGCCAGAGACCACGTCGAAGTCGAAGGAAGACCGTCGCTGTCGTTGATCTCGATTGATCCAGGCGTGATTTGGTGCTTGCTATTCTGTTCCACTCCAGTCTAGTTGTTTTATCTACAGTGAGTTCAGTAGTTTGAAACCAAAACCTCATGAATGATAAACAATGATAGACTCACTTTGAACGCCAATAGAAGGTCTACCGGATACCTTGTTCCGTCGCCTTTGGATATCTTGGGATCGGGGCACCAGATCACTCCGCACAGAATGCAACGGGTCATGGGTTGATTGCAGGTGGTGCGAATGCGAAAGTGATCCTTAGCTGATAACTCCTTAGATGCCGAATTGGTTCATTCGGTTGGATGAGTTGCTCTTCAGAACGAAACAAAGGCTTGTAAACCTGGACAAGCAGGTGGAATCAGATGGAACAAGCTGACTTTGGTCTCCTAAAGATTCTTCTATCCTTTCTAAATCCATGCTGTTCCCAGGTGTAGGAGGAACCTCTCATGTGAGAGATGGGCACAGCTTGAGCTGAACGTGCATTCTCAAGTGTTTCATGTTGTCTCATACCGTTGCTGAACTTTTTCATGCACCATAGTATTCAAGTCATATCCAAGACTTCACTTGTCTACCCCGTTGGTCGTTTAGATTTTTGGCCAATCAGTTAGGGCATCTTCGATTCTGCCAGGAGGAGCTGCAGATGGCACTGCAGCAGGTGGAGCAGACAACATGCTTCCCCACACAACTGTTAGCCTCAATTGCAGCGGCATGGACGAGTAGAACCGAGTCGGGGAGTGGTCCTTCGTTCTTCTTTTCTGGGGGGCTGAAAACATGCTGTGCTTAGCTTCATGCTACGTTCGTAGCGATGCACTTGTTACTAATAGCTTCTTGTTACTACTAGTAAGG